GCCTTAGCCAGTTGAGCTATAGGCGCTGAGCCTATGACATTTTTCAAAATGCTTGTTACATTACATATTATATTATAAAAGAAACGTGAATAAATTCTTCTTTTTTTCTTGAGACAGAGTCTTACTATGTCACCCTCAGTAGAGTGCTATGCCATCACAGCTCACAGCAACCTTAAACTGTTGGGCTTCAGCGATTCTTTTGTCTCAACCTCCCAAGTAGCTGGGATTACAGGTGCCCACCACAATGCCCGGCTATAAATTCTTCTTTTTAAAAAATGTTAAAGTATAGCCAGGCTCAGCTTGTACCTATAATTCTAGCACTCTGGGAGGGTGAGGCGGGTGGATTGCTTGAGCTCAGGAGTTCGAGACCAGCTTCAGCAAGAGCGAGATCCCGTCTCTACTAAAAATAGAACAACTAGCCAGGCATTGTGGCAGGTGCCTGTAGTTTCAGCTCCTTAGGAGGCTGAGGCAGGAGGATGGCTTGAGCCCAAGACTTTGAGGTTGCTGTAAGGTATGATGATGCCATAGCACTCTATCATGGGTGACAGAGTGAGACTTTGTCTCAAAAAAAATTTAAAGTAGAACAGATATAGTTATATCCCCTCTGACATCCACTCCAATCTTGGTCTCAGTTAATCCCAGTATTAGCTGAGTAGACAGCTTTTATTTACACACACAGACACATGGAGAATATACAATGTTGTTTTGCGTGCATACATTTTCATAATCATAATAGATACACTGTTCCATGATGTACTTTTACTCAATTCCTTTTAACTGCTATGTGGCATCCCATTGTGTGATGAAAATCATAGTCCAAGTTCAGGACTTGCCTGAGCGAGAGTGAGACCCTGAATGATAAAAAAATGAAAAACCCAGCAGGGCACCATGGCAAGCACCTATAATCCCAGCAGCTTCCAGAGGCTGAGGCAAACGAGACGCCCATGACCCGAGTCTGAGATTCCAGTGAGCTCTGATGCCACTGCACTCTGCTCAGGGCACAGGGTGGGACTTGGTCTCAAAAAAACCCCCCAAAACCAAAAAAACAATCAAAGTCCACTGATAACTATCAACTAAAAAAAGCATTCTGAATGTTATATGAAAGTGAAAGCACTTCCCTAAAGTCACTTTCTAGATGTATAAGTATTTTGAAATTTCACTGGTACTACGCTACTTCCTTTGAGAAAGGTTGTCCCAGCTCAGCGCCCATAGCACAGTGGTTACAGCACCAGCCACATATACCGAACCTGGCCCAGGCCAGCTAACCACAGATGACAACTGCAACAAAAAATAGCCACGCATTGTGGTGGGCACCTGTGGTCCCAGCTGCTTGGGAGGCTAAGCCAAGAGAAACGCTTGAGCCCAAGAGTTTGAGGTTGCTGTGAGCTGTGACACCACAGCACTCTATGGAGGGCAACATAGGAGACTCTGTCTCAAAACAATAAATAAATAAAAATAAGAAAGTTGTCCTAATTTTTATTCCCCAAACAAGGAATAAATGCATTAGTTTTCTCAAACCAGTACAAACACCACGTATTACCAAATATTTTTATAAGCATTTTATAAACGCTGACCTGATAGGGCAAAATTGGTATCACAGCTTTTATTTTGTTTCTTATTGTAAAGAATGAGCACTTTTTCAAGTTAAAATGCCATTTCCTATCCGTTTTCTTTTCTTTTCTTTTCTTTTTTTTTTTTTGAGACGGAGCCTCAGGCTATCTCCCCCTGGCAGAGTGCCATGGCATCACGCTCAAAGCAACCTCCAACTCCTGGGCTCAAGCGAGTCTCCTGCCTCAGCCTCCCAAGTAGCTGGGACTACAGGCGCCTGCCACAACGCCTGGCCATTTTTTGGTTGCAGCCATCATTGTTGTTTGGCGGGCCCGGGCTGGGGATTCAAACCCGCCACCTTTGGTGTATGCGGCTGGCGCCTCAGCTGCTTGAGCCACAGGCGCCGAGTCTCCTACCCGTTTTCTAATGTTATTCATCTTTTAAACACTAAGACGGATTAACGTCATTAAAACATTAAGAAAATTAGCTCTTCATCTATGCCCCATAGACAAGTAAGCAGAATGGCCTCAACTTTACTCCCTTAGCAAATGTGAAAAATCTTAGGGGACATTGTCTCCAGCCCCACTTCTCTAGGTCAGGTGAGACATACATACTGCCCCTAGCCCTCCTGATGGCCAGAAGAGCCCCCTCACAAGCTCCAGCACAAAAGTAGTGGGTGGAACGAATCTAAGAGTTAATCATCAAGGTTTCTTCAGACGCCCCTGGAGAAGCCTCCTTCGGGCATGTGGTTAGAGCACAAAGATGTGACTACAGGGTTGCTTCAACTAGTTAGGAGGATGTGGTTTCCAGCAGTTCCAGCCACATCAACTCAAAGCCACTACCTTACCCAATACCGGGTCACTCTTTTCCACGCTGTTAGGAACATGCAAGGCACCTACCCGGGCCCAGGAGTAGTCCATGGGCACTGTTGGGGGCGGCACCTCCTGGGCAGGCACGATGACTCCTTTGGCCACGAGATCTTCATACACAGACCTGTAGGAGAGGCAGGAAAATAATCCATGTGGATTTGGATTTTTTTAAATTCTGGGCTCTTCTGAGCCATCCCCAAAATGCTCCTCCCTCCAACCCAAACATTGCAGGTTTCTTCAGCTCTGAACCCTTCCCTGTCAGTGGCTTACTCTCACCAGCTGGATTCCTGAGAACTATTAATAAATGAAAACAAGTTCTGGCCTAGACTGCATTGACTCCTTTCTCCCCACCAGCTCTTACATCCGTCTCCAAATGGGACTTTACAGAAAGCTGAATCTGGAGGCTGAGGAAGGACGGTGTGGAGCAGCTACGTAGGTTTAAGAGGCAGAAATGAAAGGAGAAAATAGGATATTCAGTAACTTTATTAGTCAGAAGTGACACTCTCTAAACATTTCCATGTTCACCTCTCTCTCTCTCTCACTCTCTCTTTTTTTGACACAGAATATCACTATAGTGTAGTGATGTCTTCATACCTAACAGCAACCTCAAATCCTGGGTTCAAGCAATCCTCCTGCCTTAGCCTCCCAAGTATTTGGGACTATAGGTGCCTGTCACCATGCACATTAATTTTCTGTATTTTTAGTAAAGATGGGGTCTTATTCTTGCTCTGGCTGGTTTTGAACTCCTGACGACTTCAAGTGATCCTTTCATCTTGGCCTCCCACAGTACTAGGTTTATAAGCATGAGCTCCTGCACCTGGCCTTGCTCATCTCTCATTTCGGGCTACTAGCTCCCAACCAACAAGGCAGACTCAGAAACTCAGCACATTTTTTTTTTTAGTATGTTGCCCTTGGTAGAGTTCTGTGGCATCACAGCAACCTCAAACTCTTGGACTCAAGTGATTCTCTTGCCTAAGGCTCCCAAGTAGCTGGGACTACAGGCACTCACCACAACGCCCGACTATTGTTTTTTGTTATTGTTGTTGCAGTTGTCATTGTTGTTTTAGCTGGCCTGGGCCGGGTTTGAACCCACCAGCCTGGGTGTATGTGGCTGGCAGCCTACCCACTAAGCTACAGGTGCCACCAGAAACTCAGCACATTTTAACAGCAGCTTGCATGGCCTGTATCTGAGCTACTACAAACAAAATGAAAGGAAAGCCCAAGAGGAAGAGGACTTTAAATCACCCACACAACTGTACTAGACACAGGAAGATCAGCTACCCTACTTTGGAGACGGCTGACCCCAGAATTTGGACTGCTAACAAATTTGGAAAGGGAGGGCAGGCTGGCATCTTTCCCAAAGTCCACTTACTGAATGATTTCTCCAAGTTCATCAAAGCTCCGTGGCACAAACACTCCTGCTTCCTTCAAAGCCTGGTTCTTGGCTACTGCAGTCTCAGAAGCCTGGTTGGCACAAGCTCCAGCGTGGCCAAACTGGACCTGGAAGGCAAATAAGAACTGCCTGTTAAACCTCCAAGAGAAAGGACAAAGGACCTGTGAAACACCAGTGCTGATCTACACGAGCACTGCACTAAACGCTTTACACGAATCACAACATTTCAGCCTCAAGCAAACTCACTAGCTACAAAGGGGCTCACTCCAGTAGTCCTAGCACTCTGGGAGGCTGAGGTGGGAGGATCATGCTAGTTTAGGAATTCAAGACCAACCTGAGCAAGAGCGAGACCTCGTCTCTGCCAAAAACAGAAAAATTAGCCAGACATCACGGCACACGCCTATAGTCCTAGCTACTCAGTAGGCTCAGGCAAGAAGATCACTTGAACTCAGGAGTTTGTGGATGCTATGAGCTGTGATGACACCACTACTCTCTAACTCAGGCAAAAAAATGGGATCCTGTTCTAATTATAATAATGCAATGGAATATAGATGTGAGCAGGAGGAAGAAAAAGCCAATCAGAAGCGCTTAGTGGTGACTGTGTCTTTAATCATGCAATGGGGAAATTAAATTAACCCAAGGAGAAATCTGGTACCTAGCACTGGCTGAGGATGGGTTGTGGTGGGTAACCATAGCACTAGCACTATCTAATCTGTCTAAATAACACTACCTCCAGGCCCTTTTCTAAGGGCTTGACTCATTCAGCCACTCAGTAGCTACAATGGTTTCGCTCAGTGAGTAGGATGCTGACCCCATATACTGAGGGTGGCGGGTTCAAA